ATAGGTTCACCATTACTAAAAGAATGGTTTTTGTCTTCTGTTCCAGTGAAAAACTTCCATAGAACTTGGTTCTACATGGGCAAAGTAAATTGGAATTGAGTTGTCATCTCTAAGTATTTGAACGTGTCAAACCAGACTCTCCACTTTTTTCTCCATAGTAATCAGTCACATTTTCCTCTTTTCCTACATTATTGTTCCAATACCTTCCATTGACTTTATATATTGTGGCCAATGCAGATAAAAACAGGTTGATGCGTCAGAGTCTTTGACTTATCTCTTAGAAACCCTAATGCAGAGACTTTTCCTGATCCCCACCCCATCAAGGGAGAGTGATTCCTTGTTACCTTTTCACTCAGTGGTTCTCAAAGTGTGCTCGAGGAACCCTTGGGAGTCCTGGAGTCCTTTCAGACTGTCTGAGAGATGACAAGTATACTCGTAATAATACTGAGACTTTCCAAAATATAACATGGTAAATATCAATAGATATAACCCACATAAACAAAAGTTCTTTGCGGGTGGGTCCTCAACAATTTTCAATGACGTAAAGGGATCTTAAGACCAAAAAGTTTGAGAGCTACGGTTGTAACTAAAGCCTGCACCTTGGGACCAGAAAATCAAGGGACATTGAACTCTTTTGCTATAGAGCAGATCCATAGATTTGGGGAAGATCCAAATAGAGTTCCCATTTTAAAATCACTAGGGCTGATAGAAAAAAAAATCAAGGCTGAAAATATGGCTAGTATGGACAGGAACTATAAATGACTAGCAGTCTATGTTGGGCTAGGACTCCAAGTCTGCTGTACATCCAACTTGTTACATACAGTACAACTCTGTTGCTCTGTTTGCGTGCTTATTTATTTCAGTATATGGCAACATGGTATTATGTAACCTTTCTTGGACCTCTATTGATCACTAAGGTTACTATAAATTCTGCTTCTAGTAGAAAAGCATAGCAAAGAAAAGGGCACACAACAAACATGGCAGTTAGATTGAAGAGATTATTTCCAGAGAGAGCAAGAACTTCCTGATTAACTTTTGCAAATATAGTTGGTCCAAAAGGGAAAATGGTGATCCATTAGCTCTATGATACAGCTTAGAGTAGATTTTACCTCCAAAGGCAAAGAAGAGTAGAAGAACACATGAATCTATTATAGAGATGTTAGTAAAAATATGGTAAATTTGGTGGACTTTCCTCTAGTGGGAAAATTCTAGAGCAGCCTCAGGGACAGAGAGCCCAGTGGTCCCTGGGACACTTTTTGTCCTACAGGCTCTGTTCTTTGTGCCTATTCTTTTACTTATGGTGGCCACTAGAGAAAAAGAAGCCTGGAAGCCTTCTTGTACACTCTCCTGAATTCTTTCTTGGCCACTGGCATGACTCAGCATTCCTAGACTTGGCCTCTGATAATAGATTTGGGTAAGATGATGGTCTATCACAACCTCATGGACTTTGAGGGTTAGTGTTGAAAAATTAAAGTTGTAAATTGTTAAAATAACATTTTAATATTTATATTAAGTGAGAAAATTTTCCCAAAGTACATGAACTTGCTTGTACTGTTTCTCATTAAATACCTCTGTCCTTTACAAAGACTTGTGTATGTGTGGGTATGCATTTGGTCCTCTGTTGGCCAACTCTAAAAGATGCCAGGGGTGGAGGACTTCCTGTGAAGGTAAGGTTTGAGGATTCAAACCCCATTCCCTATGTTCACCCAGCAAACTTGATAATACTACCTTGAAATTCAGATTTACCAAACTTTCCTGGGCAAAGTAGATGAAAGTATACACCATTCTGGTGCATAACTCTTTTCTCCTAATTACTTTATGCATTCATATACCTTTAAAATAAGTAAGAGTTCATGTTCATACAAGGTTATAATGCAATTAACAGATCGTATGGTACTGAAGCTTATCTTCACAAAGTTGGGCTGTCATGGGGGAAAGTTAGCTGAATGAAGGCTAGCTTCTTCTCAGCACTGGACCAAGAGTGTCAATGGCTATAGAAGAATCTGTGATCCTCTCTTAATTATAGACTCTTGGTGATGGACTCTGGGCCCAATTGGAAATGCGATTGTTACATCTCATGATAAAGTAGAAAGAGCATCAGAATTTGAGTCAGAAGGTCTGGGTTCAAATTCTGGTTCTACCACTTACTTCCCATATTACTTTGGGCAAGCCATTTATTGTCTGTGAGTCTTCATTAGCTAGGTAGCACAGTGGGTAGAGCACTGAGCCTAGAGTCAGGAAAACCTGATTTCAAATCCATCCTCAGACCCTTAAGCTGTGTGACACTGGGCAAGTTACTGAATATTTGTTTGCCTCAGTTGCCTCATCTGTAAAAAGAGCTGGAGAAGGAAATGGCAAATCAGTATCTTTGCTAAGAAAAGCCCAAATGGAGTCACAAAACGTCAAGCATGACTGCTACAATTGTAAAAACAACAAACAACAAACAACAACAACAACAACAACAACAACAACAACAACAACAACAACTTCATTTTGTGTGCATTTGTATGAAGCATATAATATCTATAGTCACCATATAACCCCCTAGAGAATTCAACCTCCGTGAGGGTAGGAGAAATTTCATTTTTGTCTGTGTCTCCAAAGCATAGTATAATCCAGTAGTTCCTTAGCAAAGACTTTTTGGCTTATTGATTTAAAAAGAGCACATACTATTTAGCTTTTTGTCCTGCTTAAACAGTCCCCCTCCTCTAGCATTCCAAGGCTGGTAGAAGCTGCTGAAATCATTTTTTGTACTTCCTTATGCCATTGGAATGCATCCTCCTTTCTAAAAGTCTCATGTATTCTGAGTGGGCTGGAGAACTACCAGCAGTCTTTGGCTGAAGGGGGAGAGAGTGAGGAAGTGACTCCATAAGCTACATTTGGGAAAAGGAATAAAATCTTTGAATGTACCTTCACACCTCCTGCATTCTTCTTCTCCATGACGATGAAGTTTCTGAGAATTAAGTAGGGTATAGGAATTGGGGTCTTTTATTTGCTTGCCATAAGGAACTCTAGGGTCTGGAAACTTCCTGTACCAATGTAGGTCACAATCTTCTCTAGAGTTTTGTCTATGGCAGTAGCTGTCAGACTGAAGTGGAAGCAGTAAACCAGATAGTAGGATCCCAGTGGCCACATACTGACTTAGAAAACCACACATTAACATCATCTATATTCCATTTTATTTTTATCTATTTTATTAAATATTTCCCAGTTGTGATGTATTTGGCAAGCTATGGTATTTCACATTGAGTCTAAGGTACTGAGAAGTCAAGTTACTTATCTTGAATCACACAGTCAGTATGTGTCTGAAATAGAATAACTCAAATCTCACTGGCCTCAAGGCCAATAGACTATCCTGCTTTTGACAGGGAAATATGTCTTGAAAATACACAGAAAGAGAGGTGTTTCTTATGAATATCCTTCACTGTAAAAGGCAGTTATGCTATTCTCAATTTCCCTTGTATCATTGACATCTGCAAACATAGGTTGAACACCTACGACATGTAGGGCACAATGCTAGGTATGATGGCCAACGTGTGGCTACGTGATTGTACATACGAATATATCTTTAAATGCTGGACTTGGCCTCTGAAGTTTTGTTTTCCTGGTGGCAGACTTAATAACTCCAATTTCCCCTCTCTCCAATCTATTTTCTTTTACAAAGAAAAACCCTCAAGTACAATTTGCACCCAGATTACTACACTCTCAACTTAAACATTACCAAAAGCTATAATTTTGAAATTCTTTTATCTCTCCCAAGCTAATAGCAGTTTTGCATGTCTTTTATATTGTTTTCATCTGTTTCTCCCTCTCCCTTCCTCAGTTATTGTCTCTGGAATGTGTGAGGGCTTGTTTAATTTTAGTGCTGAATTTGGGATATGGAAAAGATTACTCTTAATTATATTACTTATTTATTGTAACATAATATATTTATATGTACCTTCTGTGCTGCAGAAGCAGTGTGCTCTGTGTTTGTGAAGATTGTAGAAATCGGGTTGAATAAATGGGTTCTAACTTGCTCCAGCACTATCCTAGAATGGCAGACCCTTCAGCATTTCAAAACCCACCTCCTTGAGTACCTCTTTCACCCTGGGTCCTGAGCCAAACAGTTTAGTACAGTTTCCCCAGGTTTCAATACATCCATTAAGTTATTTCTAAAATCACCTCAACAGTAGAATTACTATGAATCAAACTTGGGGCAGGAGTTGAACAAAGATTTGCTTCATGGACAGATTGCCATGTTGTGAACTGAGTGAAGTCAATGGGGCATTTTTCCTCTCATTAGCCTCATGATTGCAACCCTGTCTCTTAAATTGCACCAGGTCAAACCACAGCACAAAAAACTTCTTTTAAATTTTGAAAATATAATGTTAGTAAAGAATAGGAAATAAATCCTTGGTCGAGCTATTGCTGAAAATAAAAAATCCTGCCCCTCCAAACTCTTGCTTTGTCAAATAAAACACATAACCTCAGTTTCCTCCATATTTCTTTTTTTGACTATTATAAGACAGGAGCAGAAAGGTTCCAGCCCAGTCTATTGTCATGGCATGTAGCTAATCAGCCGTTCTGTAATAGATCGTGAAAAAGTCATCAAGTTTCACTGGAGGCATACATGTCCCTTTACTTCTTTCCTGTTCCCCAACCCCGATGACTTCAGTTCATTCAGCAAAGCACTGAAACTTTTAGGATTCCTTGGCACTTGTCCCTGTTTCCATTTGGACACTGCACATCTGAGAGGATCTCTAAGCAGTTCATGCTTTGTGGCACCAAATAATTTCCTTTGCCACCAAGCTGATGAAAGCACACAGAAGGATGAGAGGAAAAATGGCCTTAAATGGACCAATGCTTTTCTTTCCCTCAGATTGCCCAACCAAGGCTGTTCTGTTCAATCTGATGTAATCGGTTTGTAGATCCCCCAAATACATCTCCAACTATGGAGTTTTCTCTCCCTTTGATTCTGACAAAATCCTTTATAATTCTCTTTAAATGTTCCAGGGCTTTTTCAAAATGATTGTTATCAATGCCTGCCAAATTCTTTAGATCTTTTCCCTTCCTTGTCTTTACTGTAAATACTTTCCTTATTTTTAAGCAGCGGTATTACTACTATACATAGTAACAAAATCTCTGCGGAGATCTGGTTTTCTTTATCCTTTAGATCTTGAAGAGTTCCAAGTCCCCGATCTATTGGTGTTTAGTTAATTGTTCTAATATGCTTTTTTTTTTTTAAAGAAGCTATAATACCTCTTCATAACCCTATCTATAAAAGGTAAAGTACATTTGTTTTGTTGGGCTCAAAGTTGGAAGGATAATTTGGGTACACTGCTGTGGAGTGTGTGACTGGTGGGGTGGTAATTTAACCAAAGAGGAAGGCACTTAGAACTAGCTGCCTCTAAAACAAAGAAGTGAAACCTTTATGCTAGTAATAGTGTGGGGCTTTTAGATGTTATTGTGCTCTGGTGTCTTCTTGCCCAGGAATCAGCATCAAGCCCTCCAGTTTACATAAACTTCTAAATCAATAATTTTATTGAAATATAATTCTGACAAACTGCTAGTGAATAGTGGCCTGAAGTGTAAAAATGAAAATAAAACAAAAAAAAATTGTGTGAATTAATTTGTTTTCATGAAAAATACTGGAGTGGCAGTCAGGAAACCAAGGTTCAAATTCAGACTTATGCATGATAATCCTAGAGGAATTATTTACCAGGTGTAAGACTCATTTTCTTCATCTGTAAAAAGGGGATAATTATAATTGCACACTCTGACTCATAGGATTTTTGTGAGGAAAGCACTTTTTTGAGTGTGCGCTACTATTCTTTTACATTTTATTTTTAATGTACTTCCCTATATCCTCTCCCCACTGGGAAAAGAAAAAAGTAAAACAAACCCTTGAAATAAATACGCATAAGGAGGCAAAAGAAGATCATTGACCATGTAAAAAAAGTCTCAATCTGAAGCTTGAGTTCATCATCTCAACATCAAGAGGCAGGAAGCATGTTTCATCATGGAGCCTCTGGAATTGTGGTGAGTCGTTGTATTTATCAGAATTTTAAAAGTTTCTCAAACTTGTTTGTTTTCATAATGTTGTTATTGTATAGGTCATTTTCTTGATTCTATTCACCTCAGTCTTCTTCAATTCAAACTAGTCTCCTCAGGTTTTTCCGAAACTATCCCCTTCATCACTTTTTTATTGTTGTTCAGTCATTTTCTAGTCATGTCTAAATCTTTGTGACCTCATTTGAGGTTTTCTTTGCAAAGATACTGGAGTGGTTTGCCATTTCCTTCTCCAGCTCATTTTACAGATGAGGAAACTAAGACAAACATAGGTTAAATGACTTGCCCAGGGTCACACAGCTAGTAAGTGTCTGAGGCTGAATTTGAATTCAACTCTTTCTGACTCCAAGCCCAGTGCTTTATCCACTGCTCCACTTAGCTGCCCAAAATGAATAAAATAGTATTCTGTTACATTCAAATATCACAATTTGTTCAGTCATTACCTAGTTGATGGGCACAATTTTAGTTTCTAATTTTTTAGGGTTATTATTCAATGATATGTTCTGGGTTATCACTCGTCTTTATACTATATCCATATACCTTTGGGGCATATTAATTTACTGCCAGTGGCCTATAGCTCCTTCTTCTAGACACTGTTACTCTGCTCCTTTATGGATGAAGCAGTCTAGCAGTTAGAACCATGGGCTGGTGGATTAGGAAACACAAGTCTTGGTTCCTAGTCATATCTGCTCATAGTTTACACTATAACTTTTCCATTTTCCACTTGGGTTTTCATATCTTCAGGATGGTAATAATCTGAGTAATACTGACTCTGATCTATTCTTCAGGGGGGCTTGAGTCAATTCAATTCCACCAACATTTTGGCTCTTGCCATGTATAATACACTGCTCTGGGATACGTAAAACATGGTTCCTGATGGAGCTTATAAAGCAGTAGGAGAGAGAGAACACACACAAATAATCTTACTATATTTGTAGTTAAATGAAAAAAAATCTGTTCAAGCTTCTACAAACAACAACAATAGCTGATGTCTGCACTTTTTTAAGTTGTGCAAAAAGTTTACATCTATGACTTCATTTGATAGGATTTTATTGTAGAAATCTATAGTAGCAGAAGAAAGACAGATATTTCTATTGTGATTTGTTCCTGTAGATTTTCTCTACATCTTCCCATTTCCTGCTTTGCTGTACAGAAAGTAGGAAACATTGAGGGTGATAGCACCCAACCCTGGGTCAGTAAGCAAAATAATTCATGTCTGTCCTGGAACTTTGGACTACCGGCCACTTGAAATATTAATGCTTTTGAAGATTCAGAAGCGGAGAGCTAAATCTGTTTAGATCCACCTTTCCTGCTGCCATTCAGGTGTACGAAGACTACTACTAGCCAATTACCTTTTTCTGACTTTAAGGTCTCATTGCTCCTTTCTCCAGGTCCTGGGAGTGTGTATGATGGGCTACAGGACAAATTTAAATAGTAAACTTCAAAGGAAAAGAAAACATGAAGCTATTATGCAACATATTTAGGGATATTTGAAGATAGTTCCATGCACAAGGTTAGTAACATACTAAGTTCCCCCCTCAGGTGAAGCCAAGATCTTTTCCTCCTGTCCTTCTTTTATCATCACTAATAGTGGCACCTTAAACTGCTTCACTTAACAGTGTTTAAGGCCGTGATCTCATCTGATACTAATGAGGATATTATGAAGTTGGGAATGCAAGTATCCCCCCCCCCTTGTTTTATTGATGCCTTACTTGGTTCTATAGTCCCATATCTAGTACTTTCAAAAAAAGCGATAGAACTCAGGGCTTCTAGCAAAATGCCTGGCATATAGTTGGTGCTTAATAAATGCTTGTTGACTGACTGATACTACTTTGTCTCCAAAACAGAATCTCTTGAAGGATAGGCCCATTTTAGCTTCCATAGAATATTGAGGAGGGTCCTGGGCTTAGAGCCTGGAAGGCACAGGTTCAAATCTGGCCTCCTACATTTACTGACAAGGTAATTATGGACAAGTAATCTCACCTTCAGTTTCCTCCTATGTAAAATGGAGATAGTAACAGCTATTGCACCTACCTCACAGGATTGTTATAAGGCTCAAAGAAGGTAGGCAGAGGAGGTAGCTAGGTGGCTCAGTGGATAGAGAGCCAAGACGTGAGTCAGGAATGCTTGAATTCAAATCTGGCCTCAGGCATTTGCTAGCTGTGGGATCTTGGGCAAGTCACTTAACCTGTTTGTCTCAGTTTCTTCATCTATAAAATGGGTATAATCATAGCACTTACTTTTCAAGATTGTTATGAAGATCAAACGAGATCATAATTGTAAATTATTTTGTGCAGCGTCTGATATGTAGCAGGCACTATACAAATGTAAGAGAGAGAGTTGGCTTTTAATCTTTTAGAACTTCTGACTTTCATATAATGAGATTCTTCCTTTTGGACTGAAACAGGTTTATTCTAGTTTGATCAGGAAAATAAATCTTTTTTTCTTCTCCTAATCCCAAAGCTTTTCATCCTTTTTTGATGTTACCATGAGCAAACTTCCATGGTGTTCCCACATGCTCATCATATAATATTTTTATACGCTTTTCCCTGGACTTTAATCCTTTTCCCCAATATCTTCCACACCATCACGTTTCTTAAACTCTTTTTAAAAGTCTCGAGCTCTGTACCTCCTGCATTTGTTTAACTAGCTCAATTTCTTCTATTGTTTACCCTGGTCAAGTTCCCACTACTTCACTGCAATTGTGAATAGTTCATTTTGCTGTACTTTACATTTAATGAGTGTTAAAAATATATACATTTATACATACATATATACATGTCTATATACATATCTATAGATACATGTCTATATTTAATATGTGGGTGTGTATACATAGGCATCTATAGACATGTATACACACATGCCTACATTTCATAACATATGTATGCATATATGTTAATATATACATGTATTATATACATATATATATTTCTCCACTTCAATTATTCATTTGCACATACATATTTAGGACAAGTCCAGACTATGACTTTCATTTTACTCAAGAATTCAAGTTGGGCAATAATTTGCCTTTTAATTTTTCCTTATAATCTGCCTTAAAGTATGCTAATTAATATTTTTGCTTGTCCTTGAAATATCTGAGAGTTACTTAACAAAAATTTACTTATAAAAATTATGGCTTTAAACATTCATGGATGAATGAGAAGCTGAATTATTATTTTCAATTCTCATGACACAATTAATTAATCAATCAATTAATTAATTGCCAGCAAGATTCTTCCACAGTGCTTTAGTTAGGAGAATAAAATTATTTGGCTTAAGCAGTTGCAGCTAACTAAGTCTCCTAAGTATAACTGCAACTTTATATTTTATACTGAAAAGTATGTTGGACTTAACTCCCCACCTTTGGTGCTAACATGATCATTTTTTTTAAGGTATCATGAAAAGAAAACAAACCAGAAAAAGGGGCCAAATTGTTTAGAAAAAAAAAAGTTACGAGCCAAGTAGATGAAAAGACCAAAAAACGGAAGAGTGAGCTGCAATTAGAAGTCTAAACCAATTAAATAAATATGAAGAAACTCAATAAATGAAAACCAAATTCAGCTGATTTTGTCTATTGTTTATGTGCTTAGCTTTAACAAAGGTTACTTCTATTACCTTAAAGCTACACAAATATGCCTTATCTATAGTTAGTTATTTTCCATCTCTTCAGAATAGTTCTAGATGTTTTCATAAGTTTGAAGTGATTTTTTTCACTGCATGAAAAGGTGAATTTTAGTATTTTAGCATTCAAAATCTCTGAATGCAGTAAATATGGCTGCCAGCTAGATGGTATAATTTAACCCAGACAGGACCTGCTGTCTCCCAATATCTCCCCCACTCACCTACTGTAGTACCTGAAATTTCCACCATTTCTTACTCCAGCCATGGAACCCATGGAAGAATAACAGCAACAAAGAGGTAGTGCTGGAAAGTACCCCTGACGCCATCTTGTCTAATCCTTTCATTTTAGAAATGAAGAAAGTGGATCCCCAGAGAAGGTAAGCACCTTGCCTAAGGCCACATAAGTAGGAAAGACTGGAGGTACTGACTCTCTCTCTAGCACTTTTATCTTGTTAGATTAAACAGAACTGAACTACACCATTTGTGCAAAACTTGCCATCTTAGCCTTTTAAACTGCTTTCACATAAGGAAAGAAGCAATGCTTTTCTTTTGGGGGGAGTGTTAGGAAGGATGATCTCCATTTATTGATTGTTAATACTTACAGACAAAACAAAATAAAACTCATCCATATGGCCAGAAGTTTGAAAAGTTCATCCTTACCATTCTAAATATCTATTTCTGAGTTATCGGGAAGTCTGGAAGGGAGGAGCTAGGATGTTCATCTATTTACCACATACCATTTGGTTTTCCACAAATTCCATTCCATTCTATAAATTCCATTCCAGACCAATGGGCCTGATCCTTGAGACCTACAGGAATGGGCTGAGTAGTATGAAATGTCAAGACGAGGAGAAAAATAAAAGGGAAATGTTAGAAATGAGATTCTGCATTTTTCCCATTAATGACCAGTTTCACTAACGAGGTGTCAGAAAAGCAGCATAGATCACCAAAACAAAACAAAACAAAACAAAACAAAAAACCCCCAAACCAAACCAAACCAAACCAAACAAACCCTCTAGATCTTTTTTTTGGGAAAAATGTCAACCAAGGTTCATATTCTATGACCTGCTCCCTCAACCTCTCCCACATGCTTACCCCCACCTTCCTCCTTAAACAGAATTTTACTTTTAATGAGCAGGAATGCAAATCATTGAGCTTTGAAAAAGAAACCTCCTGTTAGAACACATCTATTGTTGTCAATTAGCTGGGGTTTCAAGGAAAAATGAGGAAGGGCACACGCAAGATAACGGCATTTCTGTTTATACAGCACGTGTTGGGTTTTGAAGTTTCCCTAAGGGATGGAGGCTCTCTTTATTACTTCAAAAGCTATTTTCATGTTTTTGAAATTACCAGAAATTATGGGCAAAACCCCCTTCACACGTAATTTATTTTACCTGATATCTCATATTTTGTGATAACATGCAAATGCCATATGTGGGACTTTCTCTTTATAGATGTGAGGAGGGGAGGAGGGAGAACCAGCAGAATTATCACTGCGCACTGCAAAACCTTCTATTGAAAGCCGCATTTACCATAGTGACACTTACTGATTATGGCAGAGTTGATCAACTGCAGATTTTCCTGTGGCTGAGTCTGAGTTACAAGCTGCTCATAAGGCCACCAGAGGCTTCTGGCTTTTCAGCCAATGAGGACCTGGGAATGCATTTTCCCTTGCCTTCCTTCTGTCGAAACAGCCTCCCCCCTCCCCCCCCATCCCCCTTGCCACCATGTGGACAAAGTCGGCATACATTCTACCACGTTTGCACTGGCTCGACCTCACGCAAGACTTGTGGGGAATAAATGTAGCTCCCATATTCTTAAGATTTCAAAATGCTCAAGCCAGAAATCTGAGTGTATTCCCAGAGCCTTCATTTTTGTGTTCCCTAACAGGTATTTATTTTCCTAAATGAAATGGTCAATATCTAGAAGCATATATTATTCATAAGACCTAAGGAAAAACATCTTGTGTTCTGCTATTCTATTTCATTGGCGGCAAAATGCTTTATACCACGCCAAGTGAGCCAAAGACACAAAGCTATTATTCAACACATAGCCACTTCAATCATTTCTGTACCAACAATGGTGAAAAGATGTGATTTTACAAGCAAACAGGAAGAAAAAGCTTGAACACACCCTGGGAACATGTTTAAGAAGTTGATTTATGTTTCCACGCTGAGTCTTACACCTGCAGTTCAAGCAAAACCCAACTTGGCTGCCCCACTGAGTCTGGTTTATTAGGTATCAAGGAGTCACAAGAAGCCGCGTAATTAAAACCGTAATTAACTGGAAAAGGAAAGTGCCACCTGAGTTTTGAGAGGCTGTCAATTTTATTTCCATTACAGCTCTCCTTCTGGTTCTCCTCTCAGATTTTTTTCCCCCTTTGCTTAATAAGAAAACAACTTATTTTATTTATTTATTTTTGAAATTTAACATAAACCATTTAAGGGAAAAGTTAACTTTGTTGCTGTGGTCTTTAACTCCCTCAGTCCTGGAATTTTTTGAGTTAGTTCATTTTCAGGAGAAGAGAGAAAAGAATAATAAAGGTTAAGAGGTGTATGTGTGTGTGTGTGTGTGTGTGTGTGTGTGTGTGCGCGCGTGCGCGCGTACTGTGAGCCATGGAATGTCAGGGACACAGTCTCTCTCTCTCTCTCTCTCTCTCTCTCTCTCTCTCTCTCTCTCTCTCTCTCTTTCTCTTTTTATTTTTTCATCATCCTCTTCTGTCTCCCTCCCCATCTTTGTGCAGGGGCGAAAAAAGGTACCATACCAAGTCTACATAGACTCAGTCCCATGTGTAGAATGTACTTCCTCTTCCCAGAGTCCCTGGATTTCTTCAAGGCTCAACTCATGGTCACCTCCTTCAGGAAGCCTGTCTGATTTCCCTGGTTGCTAGTGTTCTCTCCTTCATCTGGTATCTCTTCCCTGAACCCCTCCCCCCAAGAACATGAGCTCCTTGAGGAGCTCTTGCTCTTGTAAGTGCTTAGCACACTGTTTTGAACATAGTAAGCTTTTTTTAAAAAAAATCTATTTATCCATCCATTCATTTAGTTTTTTTTACTCATTCATTCATTTGTCTATTTGCTTATTTTTAGGCTGTGTCTCCCAATTTCACCTAAGCTGGAAGTGCCATGGCCCAATCCAGCTACTGATTGGCAGGGAAGCTGTGACCTGCTATGGTTTTCCAGCTTGGGCTGGTTCATTCCTGTTTAGTTTGCTCAGTGTCCCTCTGCAATGGCAGTGAAGGGAGGGGCTGTCACTATATTGATGCTGGACTTAGTGTAGACATCCTCATCAGCTTTAGCTGTACCACACTGAGAACCTTAGATCTCAAGCAGTTTATCAGGATTAGCCTCTACCTCCCCCAGCAGCAAGAAAAACAACAGGTGCTTGTTACCACACCTGGGTGCATAGTAGGCTCTTAGCACCACCATACCTGGCTACGTAGTAGATTTAACAAATGTTTGTTGCATTGGATTGGAGAATGTGGTGGGTATTGAAATAACCAGTTGAAGGGCACTGGAATGTATTATTACTGCATGTGTTTGCAATTGTCTGATTGTTCAAGTCTATTTCTTAGGAAAGGAATTGAAAGGAGATCCTTGAGCCATACTTTTTGAACTTCAAGGATTCTTTCTTCCCTTGCTGCCCTCTGCCCAACAACATTTCAAACACGCTATGAAATAAGTTAGCGCCAGAGTGAAGAGTGGTAGGCACTTCAAACAGCTGTACTGAAAGCTACATCAAAACTAATATGGGCACCTTAATTTGTGAATTAAAAAGCACTGGTAGGCCAATCTGTTTTGGGAAAAAAGTCAATCTATTTCCATTAATAAAAAATAAAAAATAGCCTTTAAACATTTACCTTCCATTATTATGCCATCTTTCTGAATGTTGCCAGCCCTTTGAATGTTATAAAGAGGTTTTGTATTAAAGAAGCAGTTAGATAACACAGTTGAAGGTGGCCAGGGAACTTTATATCAGAAACTATTCCTGGAACTCGACATCAGAAGCTAGTCAACGAAGTGATTTAGGAACTAAATGAAGAGTGTGCTTTGAAATCATTAAGATTTTATTATTGTTATATTATTATTTTTATAACACAATATAATTATTATGATAATTATATAATATAAACATTGATCATAATAATTTTATTTTAAGGAAGCATTCTTAGCAGAGATGTATGTATATTTTGAAATGAAAGATTCAATGGAATCCTTTTATAAAATCTATAGAAGATACTGGCATTTTGTTTCTTGCTTTATATTTCAAGTATTTATGAAACCCATCTATTTTTAGAATGTAAGTCACTTCACTTTTGGGTAGGGTGAAAATTTTGCCTTTTCTTAGTCTGAATCACTTGGCACTTTGGCTGTTCTGCCAAAGCAGAACAGTTTCAGGACTCTATTTGTCATAAGGTAAGGGTTTTTGGAATCTTCCAGATCAGAAGAGAAATATGTCAGTGTGTAATTTGGAGAAGTGAACCTGAGGTACCCACAGCAGATGACACTCGGGGTTTAGGTTCCTATTCAGCTCCAAGTCAGCAGGGGCACTCCACGACCATCTGTGTTCTATAAATTACCGTAACACCGGCACATGCGGCTTGTAAATCACCAGTGAACAGGCTTCACCTTGTGACACACTACATGAACCCTGTTGTATATTCCAATAAACTCCCATAAACCATCTGATATAAACTCAGGATTATGTTTCTTCAGGGGTTGGAAGACTTAGACTTTTCTTTACTGTTATGATTCTCCCTCACATGCGAATTAAATACTTGTGGTATGTTTCACTGTCTATTTACACACACATACACATGCACACATACACGTGGAACATTAGACTAACCCTGAAGTCAAAGTTTTGTCTTGATGACTGATATGTGCATTTCTGTGAACTAGATTTTCTTTCTTTTTTTATTTTTTCATTAAATTTGTTTCTTTAAACCTGGATAGAGAAAAATCAATATCTTGGGGTTACACGGAATATTCAGAATATATTATGCAATATATAATAACAAATATATAAATACATGGAAAATATGATTTTAAAAGAACAAATGAATGATCAAATTATCAACAACGTACTTCATTAAACATAAATAATTCCTAATCAAAACATTTTATGCCATCAAATATGGCATTAACTTACTTTTTTTTCCCTGCCACTTGGGGATCTCTCTGAATGAACTTGAGGGAGGAGGCCACTCTGATATCCTCTTTTAGAACCAAATCTATACGTAGATTTTGGGAAGAAATGGGTTGCCAACAGTGGGTATAGGTGCCACTTAGAACTTTTTCTGTATGTATACTTAAGATCTTATAATCTTTCTAGTTCTAATGCACCTCTTGGTATGTGCAAACCACTCTGTGATCAGGGTAGAGCAGGAATCATGTAATTACATGGAGACCCCATCTGTGCCCCTGCAATGACTTTAGTCACTGATCCAGTATCCATGTAAACACACTGAAGATGCTC